ATTTCTCCTGAAATACTTGACATTTCCAAATGGAAATACCATCAGAACAAACCACCACTTGAGATTCATTTCTAGGTTTACAGAAACAGCTACAGAAAGTTGAACCAAGAAAACATCTCATCCTAAAAGCTTCAGCCACTGATTTTTAGTTCTTCATCAACAGTCCATCAGTCCTCAGATTTAAGAATAGCAATTATGATAGTGGTCATAACTGGTTTATGCTCGCTTAAAAAGATTACTGCTGAATTTACTGAACTACTCTGGCTTGAGTAAATGTATGGCAAAAACCAAGCACTGAACACCAACTTTCACATGCAAGGGCACACAATGGCATAAGATCCCCCACTTTTGCTTTTGGATCGAGGCAAGGGAATAAGGTCATATTAATATCAGTGAAAGGTAACTAGCACAAAGTAAGTCATACACTAGGCACCATCCTTTGCAGTGAGAAATTCTTTAGCAAGCTGAATGTTTGCAGGAAAAGAAAAAAAGGGCTGGGGAAAATGAATGTGCATTAAACATGATCTCCATCATTCTGATATTTAGGTATATATCCCTCTCCTATTGCTAAGTACGAGGACATATCATGATAGCTATTCTGCAGAACATTCATCATCAGAAAATTAGGTTCCTTATAAAGCTTTTTTCTTGACACTTTCTTATTTGTGCCTGTAGCCAGTATTTTCTATTTTTAGGAAATTTTATATATATAATTTTTTTAAGCATCCAAGGAGAGACAACATGAGTTATTACTGTGAAATAATATAGCTAAGGCAGAAAAAAAGGATTGTCAGATATTCAGAACTAGATCATTAAAAAATTCTCTCATTTACAGGTGGTCCTTCACTAATCATATACAAACAACAAGGTGCTTTAATTTCTATCATTCTAAATTATTAACACTTGACTGTCAGCGCTAAATATTCAAAAAAATATCTTCAGACTCTCCATCCTATTTCTTCTTCAATGTTCTGGAAATCTTTCTAGATACTGCCCCTACATCCCCTCTCTTCACACAAAAAGCTTGATTTTCCATGTTTTCTGATTAGCTGCTGCAATTTTTTCATGTGACTATTTAGTGAGAACTTTTTTTGAAAAAGTGAAGAATCATGGAACCAGAGTTTGGAATAAAAGAAGTCATGTGTTACCTTCAGAAAACCTCTCAACCCTTTTCAACTTGAATTTGCTTTCCTATGTGTTCCTTTGGTTTTTTGCTATGCTATACATAATAACCTCTGTTCTGTCTTCAGTCTAAGTTACTTTATACCTTTATTTACACTTTTCTTTATCATATTCCTGCTTGTCTAAGTTTATCTTCTATTGTATGGACCTAACCACCTCCTCTCAGCTTGTCCCTACATTCACACCAAATGATCTAAACTAGCTTCAGCCATGGCTTAAATTTTTAAAACTTGCCTCAAGCCTTCATACCTCCATCTTTCCCCTCATAAAGAAGTTGGAATCTCAATAACCTCAACATGAACAATCAGTGTCAGGAGAAAAAGTGCTTGCCTGGGGCTTTTTTTTTTTCAAGTATTTTAGAATAAGTAAGAATAGTAAGTGAGAACCCAAAGTTACAACAGAAATGGTATTAACACCAACAAATACATTGAACTTTAAGTTTCATTTTTACTTAACAAAAACTAAAATACTCTGGTTTTGCTAAGGTTTTTCCATTATGTCAAAGTGATACCTACAGCTTAAATATAAAATTCCAATTTCATACACAGAATTGAATCTGTTGTTTGATTAACTTACTAACTAGTCCCTTAGATTAACTCACACATATTGTATACACTTAATGTTGAGAATACATTTTTTTTTGTACTGTTGGATCACCTGATAAAGCTCAACTTAACTACAAGTGAATGCCTGACAAAAATACAGGAAGAAACAACTCTTTGGGAAGGGTAATTCCCTATATGGGAATTGTGCTGGACACTGAAATCTTGACAGATGCTCCAAAACCAGTGAACACTGGGCATTTATTCCCTTTTGTACTTGTAAGAAGATTGTGACCTTTCTTTTGCCATGTATGCCTCAGTGCTGTTTCACAGCCACCTTGTACTACCTTAACAAGGTAAAGCACATGGACTCTCCCTGAACAGATCAGTGCACCAAACCCACAGGGATGGGAGCTCCAAGAAACATTTAAACCAGCACTCCATCTTTCACAGTGGGTAGAATTCTAACAAGACCAAGCACTTGAGTTTTGACCACTTAAGAGAGCTTTCCTCTGCTGCAACTTAGATTAGTCTGAGTCCCTGGGTAACAGTGTTCAGCACATAATAGCTGATGTCTGCCAGGAGGTCTTTGAAAGAGTCCTCTTCTCTGCAGTACATGCACACTCTTACAGTCTATATGTCAGGGCAAGAATCCCCAGATTTTGCCATCAGCAAGAGCATTGTGCAAGACTGCTGTCTTTTCTAAAAGCATTCCCTCCAGGGAATTCAAAATGATCAGGCAGTTTCAGAAATGGCTATCTCAACCTGGGCTGAATACAAATCAAATACATAAATGAAATTGCACATCACTTACGCTTACTGATGAGAAGTCTTGACAGCAGCATGGCCTTTTCCCTTTCCCAGGATTCTTTGAGTCTAATTTTATACACCAAAATAATTACACTGCTCTTCCATACTTGTATCAAGATGCTCCTGACACTACACACTGCCAGATTTCAATGGGCTGAAGGGTTATCTATTAGGGCAGACTCATTAGTGGCCAATATGTTCAACAGGAATTTAACAGTTACTACTTTGTATGTTGTGAGGATGTTTGTTTTCAAAATAATTACAGCAGTAAATTGTAAATACAAGTCTGAGTTTAATTCATAAAGAAATTCTATGTTTTTAGAATGACTAAGTTATAATTCATTTCCATCTTTAAACTACAAAAATCAGAAATAATTTCTCACCACTGGTTAAGATTTTAAACTGTCTCTTTTGGATGCATAGCTTAAAAACACTCCGTAGTTTACAGTTTATCTCCTACCTGCTTAAAGGAAATAGTTCATACTTATTTGAAATTCAGGCTGCAAAGTGAGTGATTGGTGGGGAAGCAGAAGCAGCTCGATTACTATGGAGAGGCAGAATTTTGTAAGAAGCCTCACGGAAAAAAAATAATGATAACTGTGTTTATGATTCTCAACTCAAAATTTAACAATAAAATCTAGTATATTTGAATCTGCAAAAATAGAGCCATTCTGAAAACTGATTGAAATTGCTAATATTTCTTAATTGAAGGAAACCAACCACTGATTTCTCTTCCACTTCAGTTATGAAATGAAGGCAAACCATCTTGCATCCTTTTCATCACATCACACCCCTTCTGAACTATTTGCCCAATTGGTAGGCAACATCCCAATCCAACAGAAATTTGCTTAACAGTGTGAGACGTTGATGCATTTCAAACAGGGTTCTTGATGGCTGAAGACTGTAGTCCAGCCTCAGCATGGGTAACTGCTGGCACTACAATGCTCACCTTGAATGAGACAATATTGGGAAGGTAATCTACAAACAGCTAACAAAGGTAAAAACTTCAGGGTTTATCACATTAGGCTCTAAATTGCATTAAACAGATTGAGAGCCAGAGCCTAACCAATCTTCCTACGTATGATCAGAAATTACCATATTTCAATTAGAAAATGAAGCAGTAAAATTTTTTCAAATGTGAATTTTTTAATTCAAATACTCATAGGAAAATTTAAAAGGAACTGTGATAAAATGTCACAGAAAACCAATGCCAAGATTCTCAAGTTACAGACCTTTGCATACTTCTGCCTCTGTTGCACTAAAATATAGTGGCAACTTCATGCAGTGCCTCTAGGCATAAAACTCCCTGATATAAATTCAACAAGAAATAGAGCAAGTACACATTCTGACCTGAATTTCTCATTTCTCACGTATTTCTAATAAAAGGGCGATTTCTATTTGCATTTTACAATTTCACAAGTCCGCTAATTGCGAGGCACTCTAAAATAAATGTAAATTGTCTGGACGGCCACCATCCAATTTCTAATGGACAGGTGCTCATATAAAAATTCAACAGGATCAGCGACAAGCCAGCAGTAACCAGCAGAGTGAGGATAGAGAGAAATAACTTGACTTTCAGCTGAACTTCCTGTTTAACCACAGGGATAATCAAATTAGGTCAAGGTCAAGTACGTGACAGAGCAGCTGTGCCATGCAGTAAATAAGGGCTGCTGGTGTATCAATAGATACAGTAATCGTGTTTTGATTTTCTCAACCACCATTTCATGTCTTGCAATTCAAAGCTGCTGCAGGAGAATGAAAGTGGCCTCCTGCACTCAGCCTTGCTTCTGGGCTCTGTAGGTTCAGCTGCCTCACAGGCTGCATGAAGCCTTGCAGCAGAGCAGTCCATTAGCGCTCACTACAGCACTTCAGTAGCCCACCTCTTGTCCACAAGGTAAACATTAAAGCTGTCCAATATAGGAACTAATAACCAACTAATCCTTGCCCCATGGGACGAGAGATGTTTAAATCTCACTAGCAGAACAAAATGACTGGTGGTGACATTCTTATCCACAGAAACTTATTCTGAGATGTTGCTCACTTAGGACCCAAATTAACTACTGCAAATAGATCCTTTCATACAATGATTCTGAGACCTGTAGTGCTTTGGCTTAATAATTTATGATTTTCCTGTTTCAGTAAGTGAAAATAAATTGATTTATGGCAGTAAATGCACAGGTACTGAAAACAGCAGCTGTAGTTTTTTTGATACCCATCTGTCCTCCTCTTACTCCATCTGTTTCCTTCACTCATTGCACTGGAATTCAGCTTCACAAAATGCAGTCCAAACTCTTCCATGTAGCACAGTGTAAGTTACCTAGTTACCCAGCTAAAAGACATTTTCAAAATAAATCACTCTCCTTGTACTCTGTAAAAGGCAACCGACATGGATTTTGTCGTTGATAAACGGCTGAATATTTTTTTCAACAAAATATACAACTGTCAGTAAATTTCCTCTGATTTCAGATGGTACACTTGGAAATAACAGCATAAAGGCTTCTTATTTTAAACAACTATTGATTACACCCTGAGGATTTTCACCAATTCCACTTGATACTGCTTTTAAAATGGTAAGTACCTACATAATTCTATGATTTATAGACTGCTTCAATTTTATCGATAATACAACAGTAAAAATGCACACTAATATGTAATGTCATTTGATTATACAGCTTTTATAAAACTGTTGACTGACTTTTTTTATTCTTCAACACTTCTTTGGCCTGTTAATTATTAAAGATTTGGATTTTACTCTTTACACTAAATATACATGTTTAACAGGAAAAGAAAACCTAAGAAAGCACTCCCCCCCTTACAATCCAAAATGGAACACAAAATATAAAGGCTGAAATGAATTTACTGGAAATTTTGCATAGCACAAATGCAAAAGCTACTACTAAAACCCATTTGTCCTACAGGAAACTATAAGCAAAGGCTGTTTCCCTTATTATCCCATATTTAAGGCAGTGTGGTACACAAGGTCAATCGAAGGTCAGGAGGGGAGGTTGCTGTTACTCTATAAAAGGGCTCACACTTTAAATGTAAGTATCTCAGTGTTCATGGTGTCCTTCATTTCTACACTAATGTGGTACCTTGAATACCTACATGCCTTAAATACCTTGGTTTATGCATTTACTACTTCATTATTGGCATCACATTAAAAGGGAATATTTAAATTTTATTTGCATTACAAAAGTCTTTTAACTGATACTGAATTTATACAGAATAGAATATTCAATACTAGCATACAGAATACAGTGCACGGGAAGACACATTTAAACACACATCTTTGTCATCTGGGTGACAGTAACTCCATTTCTAATTTTCTTTTTTTATTCCATACATTATTTTACTAAAAATTCAGTAGCACAACCGCCTGAAAGAATTTTGAGTCAAAACCAATAAACTAAACATAACCTCTTGAGATATAGAAGTGTTTATAATATAAGGAAACTTGAAAATATGTGATAAGAATTTTGGTTGGAAATAAAATGTTTTTCCAAGTTGAAAAATAGAAACAAATTATGGTAATAGCACTTTGTAAAATAGAACTTTTGTATTACAGATCCATTATAATGACGTAGGTGACAAAAAAATTAGGATTGCAATTCTTTTAACCTTTATGTGTATTTAAATATATAAAAGTCAAATTCTTCCTTTCTATGGCAGAGTTTGAAGTAATTACCAATGAAAACAAAGAACTAAGCTGCTGTTATTAACTGTACAGAAAAAAAAAGGCTGTATGCCTCCTGTGGTCTTTAAAAAGCATGAATAATTAATCATTTGCATAAAGATAAAGCAAGAAAACACAGGCAAAAACATTTACCTTTTAAACATCTACATGCTACTTATCTCGATTTCTTCCATAAATAGAAACTAATTATGGAGAGACTGAAACCAAGACAATGCCCTAGAAAGAGGCAACCCTTTTTACATATACTCAAAATGCTGTGAGTAAATCTCATGTATCATACCAGTTCATATCATACCAGTTCATATTTAAGAAAGAGGCAACCCTTTTTACATATACTCAAAATGCTGTGAGTAAATCTGTATCATACCGGTTCATATTTAACACACAGATCTTTTTTGGTCTAATCTTCCTCCTTTTACAAGCAGTGGTTAAACTTCTACTAATTCCATTAAAAGCAGAATGAGCCTTGATGTATTCTTTCACTAGTAAAATTACCTGCCCTGCACAGTATCAATATTAACTGAATGGTAGAACTGTAAAGGCTCTAATGAAAAAAAGCATTCAGCCCTCTAAATTAATGCCTGAGCTCTGACTTTTAAGTGAAGACAGAGAGTAAGTCAGCTGCTGCTCATATTGCTTTCTTATTCATAATTGAAAAACCAGAGGCTTGGGAGTACTTGGCAACCTAATCCGTTCCTTCCCAGGCATTTTATATAAGTTTTCCTTTAATATAACTTTTTTCTCCTGATTTCTTCTCCTGCTATAGTTTCAGAAACAAGTTTGATCCAAGGCTAAATTTCAAACCCCAAGACTGACACAATATAGGGGTCAGCAGTGAGGTTGAAATTTGAAATATGCTGAATCAATCCTGCCAAGGTGGGTGTTAAGGCTCCTCAGTTTCAAAGCGTACCTCAGCTGCTGTATTTGGGCAGTAATGCTCCCCAGAGTCACTGCAGAAGTGCATGTCAAGCTGTTTCTCAGAGCAAATAGCAACTCTCTATATATCAGGAAAAAAAAGGCTGGCAAAGGACAAAATTGAAGACCCTTCAGCCACTCAGAGCTGGAAAGAACCCTTAGAAGGACTGCAACCAACCTGAGTCAGGAAAAATATTTTCTTTGCAAGCTGGGAGGAAAAGGTGGTTGGATGGATCCAAGAAAGTCAGCCAAGTTAAAAGAAGCATGCTGGACTTCACAAAATTAAGCACAACCACAGCCTTTATTTTTAGGCCTATATTTTCCTGTGCTAAAGGAAGGGAGATTAAGATGCCTGAAATGCTTATTCTTCACAGGCAGGGTCACTCAGAAATCTGATCTGTATGATTGCAGACACTTGTAAACACTTATTCACCAGGATACAGCTCTGAGCTATAATTCACACTTGTAGTGCTGTACAGCAACCCAGAAGCCAAAAACTGTGTCCCATTAAAACAGCGTACGAAGTGACAATTTTCTGTGCCTCTTTACAAAATCATAATGGGAAGAAATACCTTCAGGATTGCCCTAAAATACCATCTGTCCACAAAAAAAGGCAAAATACATTAATTTACACACAACATTTTGCCAGCCAGTAGCAGCAGTAAGCATTATCCCTTTCTCCTACCCTTCACCTTAAAATGGACTATTCTAAACCACTTCAGTTTTGGCACATACATTTTCTGCAACAAAAATAAACCAAAGCAACTGAATATGTAACAATGTGCAAAAAAAGCAGAGCCTAGGGTGGAATACACAACCCAGTGCACGTTTCTGTTTGCCATATACTGATACCTTGAAGTGCAGAATATTTGCACAAATATAGGGAACCCTGAATGGCAGCAAGAGGCACTTGCAGCCTAGATCAGTCCTAGTGTGTGCCTTCAGAGACTGATTTCACACCAGCTGAACTTTAACCTAAACAGCATTAGGTTAACTCATTTACCTGAATTTCAAATAAATCACTCACTCTAAGTCCTAACTTCCTGATGCTGTGCAACAGCAATATCACATCACATCACTCTACCTTAAAGCAAGGGCAAAATAATTATGTAACTAAGACTAAGGGGATGCACTGGGCATGGTAAAGGAGGAATGCAGATGATAATTTCAAGCTAAATCTTTACAATTAGATTACAGAAAATGCATTTAAATTGTTACAGTAGCAATTATTTATTTTTTACCTACTCAATACTATGAGACCACAACCTGAAAATTTATTCTATGACTTTTGATTTGTAGACAGCTACTAAACTACTAAAGATTTCAGCTTTCCTTGGTTAACTGATCAGAATGTGCTTTTCATTCATTCTTGGTTTTAAATTTTATTGTTAATGCAGAAAATCTGCATTAATACCAAAAACTGAGACTTAAAGAGATGGAACTTGATCCCAAAATAGCAGGGTTTGTTGCAGTTTTTAGTATTTTTCTATTATTTAACTAGCTAAAAACTTCACTTCAGAATTATAGTTCACTGACAAATAACTTCATTACACAGTGACTGTCTGTGGTGTTTCATGTTCTTCCAGAAGGCTGATTTCAAAAACATACAAGCCTTGGAGGGGGGGGAGTGGCAAGAAGGAAACAAACTGAAATAACCTTAGCTTACAGTACCAAAAGGAAAATCCCCTGTTCAAGTTCAAACTAAATGGCATCTTGGAGGTGAGAACAGAACAGTAATCGCATCAAGCAAGTTGTGTGAATGATGACTTAGGAGAACCTGATGAAGAAAAAGAGGAGAATCCTCAAGGCAGGAGATGCAATAAACCAGTTACTTGCATTGATTGATTCAAAAAAAAAAAGTGAAGTGTTGACAATGTGTTTACACAGCCTTTGAAAGATAGGAAAATAAACTGGAAGGATTAAATAGGATTTATCAGTCATCAGAGGGATGTCTTTTTCTCCCTTTCCAACTTCTGCACCATCAAGTTCAACATTATCAGTAGGTCATTCTGTACCTTGTCAAAGTTATAAACAGCAGTCCAGATGCCACAAGCATGGCAAAAGAGATGGCAACCTCAACTGTGCCTGGTCTCTCTGCTCCTAAATAATCTATTGTAATCAAGGTATTAAAGAATAAACCCATTAGAGATTTCATGATGGTAACTTGAGGAGATATACATATATAACTGCAATTTTGGTGTGGGGGGGGTGGAGTGGCTAGCCCTCTGCAGAGGGCAGCAGGTCTGGCATGAAATTGCTCTTCAGCTTGCTAGGCAAACATGCACTGATCTTCAGCTCAATATAATGGTGACACCTCCACCGCAGAGCAAAGAGGTGACATTTCACTTCACTCAGGTGTCCGATCTCCTACAAAGAAACTGTATTTCCTTGGTTTATTTATACAAGTTCAGAGGATGCCAATATCCATACATGCAAAACCAGAATTGCATGCTCTTATATATTAAGGAGAACTGCAGAAATGTCCAAGACAGAACCACAGATAGGGCCAGTTCTCAGTAAAGTTGATGCTGTATATTCATCCATGATAACCACTGGTGGTACACTAAAATACACCATGCTAATGGCCAGTCTGCTCCTTTCCTTGTTGTGCCAGATCACACCAAGTACAGCTGCTTGGTAGCCTTTGGTCTCTTCTGGTCAGGCTAGTACTGAAACCTATTTTGGATTAATTCTTTCTCTGTTGGCTTTGTCCCTTCCTTTCAGACACTTTTCAGGTTTTGGCTGGGACACAGCCAGTTTTCTTCATAGCAGTCTGTGTTTTCAACTTGTGGCCAGAGCAGCATTGACAGCATAAGGCCATCTCTGTTCATATATTACAGTTTCATTGCATATATGTGGATGACTTTGACAGTGAATTTGCAGAAAAAAAGGAAAAAAAAGAGGCTTAGGATCTAGAGGGTACATTTTCAAAGCTTGAAGCAAGAGGTGCACTCAATCCTT